TTTCTCTGCGGATTTGGCTCCTCTCACTGAGCGCACTCCAAACCCATCAAAAAAAAAAAAAAAAAAAGTTCTGGGACGTTTTTTAGCTCATCTGGTTTTGCCGGACGGACCCCGATGCATGGAAAGTGACATGGCTCATCTGGTTTTGCCGGACGGACGTTTTTTGGCACTCATGTAGTTCAGGATGGCAAATCTTGACCCCTATGCAATTCCCTGTAGGCGGCTCCTTCTAAATGGATTGCCTCAAGGTGACATGGAAAGTGACGATGGTACTTGGTTTCTGTGGTTGCTTTGCATACAGGAAAAGTTGGACATAGCAAACATCAGTCTTGAGGCATTCTACAAGTTGCTCGAAAAAAATACAAAAGCGGCTTGCAAAACCAGTGCTTGGAAGCAGAGGGCTCTTTGGGCAGGTGTTCCTGCAGATGACGAGACCCGCAAAATCTACGAGCAAGCGGAGGAGAAGCTCTGCCATGAGAGGCCAGTCAAAAGGTGAGATTTTGACGTTTTTTTATATCATAATACTCCATGTGATGATATGGGAGCAACCTCTCAAAGGATGAAATGTTTTGCTTAAAACGAGGCGGTATGGGATGACCCATTTAGAAGCACATTGCATCATGCAAAACAGCTTATGTTGGGCTCTTGCGAGCCAGTTGTCTTGGACAATCAATCGTCAAGAGCTACATGGTGATGTGTCTGCGATGTCATGGTAGCATGCTTTTCTTCTTATATTCAAATGGTTCCTTCCTTTTTTCTATACGAACGGGCCCCAGGTAATTTGGAATTATTTTGTTCTGTTCATCTGATTCTATCCGGCTTTGAACTTGGGTCTGTATTTCAACAGTAAAAGGGGTTGCCTACGGAGCTAGGCCCGTTGGTATGGTTACTTAGTCCCTGGTGACATACTTTTCCTATGTGTGGGATGTACCTGTGATGTAGTTCCAGGTAACATGTTGATTATTCTGTCTGAAGACTCTGAATGCTTGCTTTTCAAGATTTTTTTTTTCTTTTTTCATTTTGTTTTCTTTTATTGCAAAAGCTGGAAACCGGGTCCAGCGTCCCGTACATCATGCACCCACTCTGTACTTCCCCTTTGTTATGGTCAAGTTACCCCGAGGTAATGACATGGTTATGGTTAGTATGGTACTACCAGGGGATGCTCATATCACCCTTGGCAGTAACCCGAGTGAGCGGTCTTCAAAAAAAAAAAAAAAAAAAAAAAGGGGTACGGTTGCACGTATATGCCGTTATGCGCATGTGTGTGCTTGTGTTGCTGAAGCAAATGATCGACCTCCGTGACATGTGCTTTTTCTTATCTTTTGTAATGGTGCTGGTGACATGCTTTTCTTGTGCTGGAATGGCTCACACATAGAGGCGTGGTGAAGGGGGAGGTACAAGAAGAATAAGAAAAATGAATGGTTTCAGTGGGCCCCTGCTGCTCTTCTTGTTCTTTTTTATTTTTACCGTTTGTTTCGCAGAGCGTGCTCTTTTAGTTCATAGTTATGTGACAATATATTCGGTACTGTGAGTATATCTGTCGGTATTTCAAAAGTAAAAGACACAGGGCAAGGGCATTATCATCAGACCTCAGTTTCTGTGGGCTGGGCATCATGCTACCGAACCGAGCACAACTCCAAGCTTGCGACAACTGGCTGAGTCTTTCCTCTGTGCTCTGTGTTCTGCTCATTAACTCCTTGTGGGCAGCAAGCGAGGCCAGCTCGTGGAGACTGGTGCCAGTGGTTTCTTGGCGAAGAGGATGGCAGCGTTGAAGGCCGGTTTGGCGGAGGATGGAGATAATCCAGACTCGGAAGAGTGCAAAGGCGACGAGTCTCCCTCCGGAGCAGGGTGGTCTCTCTTGGGATCTTCTCGCCTGAAGGACTTGGAGAGGAAAGCTGGAGCCAAAGCTGGAGGTGCGCGTGCTAGACACATGTCACTTGCAAGAATTTACCTTGCTGAAACGCCTGAAGAAGCTCATCGTCTGGGGCTGGACCTGCCAGGAAGCGAACTGGTAAGGACGGAGCCAAATTTCCTGTGAAAAAAAACGTTGTAAGAAAAAAATGTGCAGTACTAGAAGAATGTGCGGTACTAGAAGAAGCACATTGTGTGAGTGAAATACTTGAGAGAGCAAGTGAGCCGTCAAGGATAATTGAGTCAGCATATGAAAATCTTAAAACACCAGTTCACATGAGCCTAAGTCGACAATGCTACCTTCCAAGGTGTGCAAGCCTCCAACTGGGACTTGTCATAGTGGCCTTCCACCTTCACTACCGGCCTGGGCGGGAAGCGCTTACCACGTATACCGGTAAGAGCAGTTCAACTTAGGCTCGAGTGAACTGGTGTTTTTAGAACAAAGCTGGAATCATTTGATGGATGAGGGCGTAATGAGGCACTAGGTGCAATTGTTACTGGAAGTTTAATACCGCAACCAAATACGACGCCAGAGTCTTTTAAGCTTCTTATGAGAGAGCTTTGTTGTCTATCTATGCTCAAGTATACATCATTGTAGCTTGTTTCAAGAAAATCTGAGTATGAAGAATATCGAATTTCTCTATCTCTATACTACTAATGCATGCAAAGGGCCCCGCATGGGGCCCAGCAGAAACCGGGCTGGAACTGCACAGGGCCCGACGGGGCGGGGGAAGGGCCGGGCCAGTACTGGGGGTCGAAGCATGGGGAAGCGTCGGGGTCGAAGCGTGTTGAGGGATGGCAGGCGAGGGGGCGAAATGGCGCCAGAACGCTGGCGGACGCGGCCCGTGGGCAAGGGGAGGCTGGGCTGGGTGCCAGGGGGCTGTGGGGGGAGAGAGAGAGAGAGAGAGAGACGAAGGAACACAGGAGGAGAAGTGGGGAAGGAGCGGGAGGAGGAGCGGGAGGAGGAATGGGGGGAAGAGCAGGAGAAGCAGCGGGAGGAGGAGGAGGAAGAGCGGGAGAAGCAGCAGGAGGGGGAGTGGGAGAAGGACGATCCATCATCTGTTGTTGTTAAGCTGTGCGAAAGGAAGGACGAGAGAGAGAGAGAGAGAGAGAGGAGGAGAAGTGGGAGGAGCGGGAGGAGAAGCGGGAGGAGCGGGAGGAGCAGGAGGAGGAATGGGGGGAAGAGCAGGAGAAGCAGCGGGAGGAGGAGGAGGAAGAGCGGGAGAAGCAGCAGGAGGGGGAGTGGGAGAAGGACGATC